ATCAACAAATATAATAATGAATATAACAATTATGGATATTTGGGAATCACTTTCCTTTCTGAGCTTCGGCCGACTATATACACCACATTTTTTTTCTTTTGAATAAATTTCTTCTTCTTTAAAAGATTTGTTAAGATATACAGATCCTTAGTTTGAGTCTGGAATCAAATGAGTGTTCATCCAATTCTATCAAGCCAAGGCTTAGATACCAACTTGTAATGTCTCGATTTTTCATGATAAAATTTTCATTTTCATTATTTCGTTTAAATCAAAGTATAATTAAATTATGCGGAATACATGTAGTCGATGCTCATATGTATAGTCAAGCCTTTCCCTTTTCACGAACCGAAGAAGTACCTGAAAACATTTTTAATCAACTGGGTAAGCACGAATCTTAGTGAGTTTCCCAAAATACCATATATCACAATACATATACATACATATATTGAGTATCTAGGCTCACAACGCTTAAGTCACTATTGCCACACCTCACCTTTGTAAATATCTAGGTTGTTGCCATCAATTTACCCCCTGTGAGTATCTAGGTTCACAATGCTTAAGTTGTCGTTTCCATCAACTTACCCCTTAGGAAATCAACACGAAGCTTAAATGCACGCATCTTGGCCTTCCGCAAAAAGCGAGAACGCCTCAACCCTTAACATATCATATCAACATATAAACAAATAACATTTACAAGAAATACTCTAACAAGTCTAATAACATATCAAAACCTAATTGCATGCATATTACAATATAAGCTATAGTGAGAAAACTCACATGGATAATTTCTCAGACGATTAACAGTTATTTGGGTGATCCAACTGGCGAGCAACGCGCCTAATAAGTATCAACCTATAATACTACTATATATTAATCTCTATGGCAATCTTGTAATGAAGGCTAGATCTTTCAATAATCCCAATGAATACCTTAAGTACTATCAAATAAGTAATAACCATGTAAGATCCTATTGGAGGTAGAGTTTGTATGGTATACAAAGTATACTGTTTGGAAATCCCACTTTAAACACCTCACTAAATCTAGCCTAGACATCATTCCCGTAAGTACATCAATTAGTATTATAACCGAAATCACTGATAAATCTTATATTTAGATTCATAATAATGACTATGAATATATATATATATATATATATATATATATATATATATATATATGTTACACTTAAAGCGTAGTAAGTTCAGCTTAACATACAAATGTTTCTAGCAAAAACTTAGAAAGTCGCAGGAAAAACCTTGATACCGAGCACTTCTTTCTTCCTAGCACTCTGCCGCCTCAGAGCCTTATTATGAATACTTCAGAACTCTAAAAAATCATAAATCTAGAGGGAGAAAGGGTCTCTAGAGAAAAAAACTCGATTATGAAAGGTGTGAGGAAGAATGGAGAATTTGCGATCTATGAATAGGTTGGTGGGGACGGAGGCGCGCTACGACGAGGTTCTAGGCGCACCGCTCCCTTGAGCGATGGCTCTAGCTAGCTTGCAACACGCGTCCATTTCTCCTTTGGGCTACTTGTCGCTAATCAGTAATGTCATGTTTCAAGCTTTCGTGGCACCATGTGTTGATATTCGGCTGGTGCCATGTCGTCAGAAAGACCTGGTCTCCGGTGCTTCCATGTGGCGCGCTTTCATGCCGCCATGTCATCATATCGTAGGTACTTTTTTGCAATATTTGAAAAGCCATAAATTATGCATACGAGCTTCATTTTTTATGTTCTTTATATCCTCGGAATCGTCTCAGCGAGCACTACAAATTTCCTTTAGGTCTCAACAACTGATTATTTCTCTATTTGTAATTTTTATTTAGACTGGTTTAGAGTATTAAAATTCTTGCAAAATTCATAACTTCTTCATCCAAACTCTATTCTTGACATTCTTTATATCAACGAGTTCGTTTTTACGAGATATTCAACTCTTATTTACATTGCTTTGACTAAAATGGAACCGATTTAAAATTCATTTTGTATGACACACCTAGCTATGTTGGGTTGAACGCAAAATTTAGAAAAGTCATAAGTTCCTCATATGAAGTCAGATTTGTGCGTTCTTTATGTCTATGGAAATCGTATTGACATCTACTACATGTTTATGATGATTATTGTGTCTAAAATGTAGTATATTTCTACTTCGAATTTTATAAACAAATGTTTATATTAAATTCTACCGTAAAGTGAAAACATGGTATTACACATCTTATGTTCCTTTGATCTACTGATATGTTCCTTTGATATGTTGTTATTTTGTTGTTTTGCTTTTTTATATTATAATCACTTTTTGAACAAATTTGTTTACATGTAGGATGAAGCGAGGAATAATCATACTCTTACTTTGTCTATATCTATACGATTCAATGAAATGCCTCAAGGATTATGGGAAACCTCCACAAAAGTTATAAGTCAATTCTTATGGAACATATTTGTTAAAAATATAATTTTTTTGACTGATCGACTTAATCTTGCAATGTACCTGCACCTCATTCAACTAGCTCTATTTATAATCAACATTTATCTGGAAATCAATAGTTTTTTTAGAATACAGGTGTAACCAATGTTTTTGGACCAAAATTGCAAAAAGTTTAGCTCTACCCGTAGACCAAAAATAATCACACTGTAGCTAATTTGACTCGAAAAAACATAATTTACTCTTTTTACTACACAGGTCATTTTATGTCCCCAAGTGTAGGAAATAACAATGTACTTTGCTATTCCTTACACTTAAGCTTCCTTTGAAATAAGTAGAAGTAAGTTGTTATTTCATGTATTTAGGATTTTTTTGGTTAAAATGAAAGAAATAATACCTTACTTTAAATGAGAAGATTTTAGAAAAGAAAAAAAAGATAATTCAGTTTTTTTTACTACGCAAGTCATTTTATGTCCCCAATTGTAAGAAATAGCAATGTACTTTGCTATTTCTTGCATTTAAGCTTCCTTTACCATAAATAAGTTGCAGTAAGTCATTATTTCATGTATTTAGGCCTTTTTAGTTAAAATGTAAGAAATAGTAGCATAGTTTGATTGATTTGACTTGAAAAAAAAACATAGTTTACTCTTTACTACACAAGTTAGTTTATGTCCCCAAGTGCAAGGAGCTTGTAGAAAAAGAGTCAACATTGGTTAAGATGGATGCATTAAAGCTATCATTTTGACTATCAGAATAAGAACTTCCTCATCTTTTCCTTTTAATGTTGTATTTTGTTTTTCTATAATAAATATTGTGCATAATTAGCAATTTATAACATTTATTTACCATTTGAATGATTATTTTCATTTAACATATTATATTTTGTGCAATGAATTATATTTCTTGTGTATTGTATTTTAGTTTGTATTATGATACTTCAAATGTGTTATTTAATTTTAAAATTAGTAAATTATATATATATATATATATATATATATATATATATATATATATATATATATATATATGTTTTAAAACATTTGAATTTATGATACACAAAAATGTATGTCGTCTTTCTTTATGATAGGGACTTTAATGATACGGAACTGTAGGAAATGTGTGCCGTCCTCCTTTATGTCAGGGGATTTAATGACATGCACTTGCGTGTCATTTGTACCCATTTATGACACACAATGCATTTTATTAAAAGCGTTGTTTTCTAGTAGTGGTGACATTATTTGTGATATTATTTTTACATATAAATCCCCTTTGAGTATCGAACCACTTACACCAAAATATTACAGTCGAATAACCACATGAACAATACAACTCGTTGATATCTTCTAGTTGGCCATAATCTCTCTCTTAAATATCTCTATCCGTTAGAACCTTAGGAAAAACTAGGAGTAATTTGTTGAATATCTATCTCGGCTAGAACCCTGGAAAAACAAGGAGGAATTTGTTGAGAACAAAGGAACGTCATTGGACCGATCTAAAAGATTCACGTCTTGGATCACTTTTAATTGGATCACACCGATCGGGATGTGGTATGCCAAGTATGCGATGTTTTAGCTGCAACATCAGATGCAGAAGCACCCGACTTGGTGTTATCGCTAAAGTCGCTGCCTGTTTTGATCATATTTCTTGTAGTGTAATAAAAAAGGTGCAATAAAAACTTAAATATACTACCTGAAAATGATAGATTATTTAGACTAAGTGGAAAGTGTATATGTTGGAAATATACCTTGTAATGCAATCTAAACCGTGACTGAATGTCCCTATTATTTGTGTTTTTAACTTAGAGAGGTTTGTGTTGGTTAATTAAAGTCAACAGTTAATAGTTCTATTGGTCAATAAGCTAAACTTCCAAGGACCTGACCTAAGGCTGAAGGGAGTCGTACAGCACTTGCCGAACTCCATATCAGCTCCATCAAGGAAGAACCGAGAGAAAAAGCTTGGAATGAGAGAGGGGTGGGATACCGAGTGGGGAAACGAAAGGAGGAAAGAAGAGATGAAGAAGAAAGAGACTCGGCGATGAGGTGTTGAGTACCCCTTCCGAGCTCGGTATGTCGGGGCGTGGTGTTCCCCGAGTCCATGTCATGGTTGTCGGGTGGTGTTGAGTCCCACTCCCCGACCCCGTAGCCTAAGAGCTTGAGGGATAAAAGGATAAAGTAGAGGTCGGTCACTGTTTCTAACATTGTGTTGCATAAATATATAACAATGTATAAGTTTTATTAGCATCTCACTAAACAAGAGTTTTCCGGTCCATCTTCCCCTTGGGTCATTGTTTTTTGTTTTTATATATGGCCGCTCAAAAAAAATAGTATCAAATACCAAGATTATGGAAAAAAAATATTAATCTGAAAATTAAAGAGAAAATATCACATTAAAAAGCACATTAATACTTAGATCACATTAAATAGTGCATTTAGGTGAAGGTACAAGTGATCATTCTACACCATTCCTAAACACAAGATCACATGAAATAGTATATTTGTATGTATGAATGCCCTTATCGAATAAAGCAAACACTTTCGATAATAACATCGATACATATAAATTTATCAGACGTTTATGATTTTCAATAAGGTCGTTGGCCATCATAATTCCCTGGAGGATCATAGTTGCATATAGCAAACCACCAATCATTATAGCATATAACTTTAGCACAACCAACATTAATGGAATCACGCCAAACCACTTGTGTATAATGAAGACACTCATCGCCAAAACACGAATTTGATTCATAATCATAGTATAGTTTCTCCCCAACCCACATGTCAATAGCATCAGTTGCAGTGAATTGATCACCATAACCTACAGCTAGGTTTTCACCAAAAGGTCCTTCTGAGTGTTGCAAACTACAGTCCCTAATTCTTTGGTATGCATACCCACGAGCATAGTCTACCAATGTTTTGTTCCATATGAGGGGTTGCACCCCAACTTCGGCCCGAGCTTTGTTTTGAGGAATAAGGAAGTCCCTCCTTAAGGCTAACGAGAGATGTGCTAAGGATGGGATGATGAAAAGGACCATGGCTAGCAATTTGATTGTAATTAGCTTCATATTTATGGTGTCTTGGAGGCCTGGACCAAATGGAGCGTAATGTGAAGGGCAGTTATAAGATTTTGGTACTTATAAGAAGGTATGGAAAAAAATTAATCTCATGTATTTATAGTTTATTACGGTAATAGATGACATTTATATGTATATACAGATATAGATAAGATTGTCAAGATAAGTTTCATTATATGTTATGACAAACCTTCATAATTTGATTCAATCTTGAAACCGTTTCATTTTTCGAATATTACACATTAATTTTTACATTTATTTCTTTTTTCCAAAAAACAAGCTAAGTAGATTTGACTTTAAATTTATTTCTTAAAAAAATTATATTAAAATGATCAATTTGACCCCTTAACGTAAAAAATTATCAACGGTATCCCTTAATTCGTGTTCCTCACTTTTTTTATGAAAAAAAATTAGAAGAAAGTAGAATGAAATCTTTTCCTACTAACTTTGTTTCGATTTTGTAGTATCCGGAGAGAAATGAATAAAATGTTTATTATATTTTCACTTCTCTCTCACTCGGAAATACGAAAATACTATTTATTTTTCTTTTATTTTTTCATTTATCTCCTTTCCCTTTTTTTTTCTTTGCTAAAATTTGTTAACAATATGTTAAGTTTGAAACCCATCGTTTATTGAAGAAAATGTTTTCCCCATATATATGTGAAATGAAAAGGTTCTCTCCCTAACTTGAATTGATAATTTCTGTTCGTTCATTAAAATTGTGGAAAACTGTAATAAAATCATTACATATTGGTATCATAATCGATTTAGTCCTTATATCTTTTTTTATTCAATTAAGTCCTAAAAATCGATAATCGTATTCAATTTAACCCTTTTACCTGGTCAACAGGTCATTCAACTTTCAAAAATTATATTTTTGGCGCAGATTTCAAATTTTATTACAAATTTGGTTCAAAATTATACACTTTTTGCCCAAATTTCAAATTTTATTACAAATTTCGTCAAAACATAATTTTCACTTTTTGCCCAAAACATAATTTTTGACTAAAAAAAACTAAAGTTATGATGAATTCATAACAAATTTGGGCCAAAAGGGTAAATTTTGACTAAATTTTTAATAAAATTTAAAATATGGGCCAAAAGTGTAAATTTTGGACCAAATTTAGGATAAAATTTGAAATCTGGCCAAAAATATAATTTTTGAAAGTTGGATGACCTGTTGGCGGGGTTGGCGGGGTAAAATGGTTAAATTAAATACCGTTATCAGTTTTTTGGTCTTAATTAAATAAAAAAAGATAAAATGACTAAATCGATTATAAAACCAATATATAAGGATTTTATCGCAGTTTTCCGATAAAATTGCATATTCTACTATTTTCACTGTAACATTTTATATGTTTTTTTTTTTTTTTTTTTTTTTTTTTTTTTTTTTTTTTTTAAAGTTGGAATCGCTTCAATTCTTCACAGTATTCTAATTCAACGTTTTTATCACTCAAATCCATCAAACGTTGACTATGTTCCACTCACCAAGTTCCAATTATATAAACAGTAACTAAACCCACGATTAAAACCTAATAAACTTAAATAAAACTTCGATTTATGGAGCATAATTAAAATACCATCAAGATTAGCCTCTTTGAGAACCATTTTACCGCAGATAATGTAATTGTCTATATATTATGGAGAAAATTGCAAATTTAGCCTAATACACTAACTACTTTGTGGAAAATAGCAAAATTGTATTTTTAGCCACTAAAATCGTAGATGGGTATAAGCCATCTGCGATTTCGTCATGCCCTCTGCGAACGTACAAGTGGCTAAAGCACATATGTGCTTTAAAGACTTGTACGTTCGCAGGTGGGTTTTTTTTATTCGCGGTATGTATACCCTTTTTGCAGCCTAAAATCGCAGATGGACTATGTCCATCTGCGATTTCCTCTCGTTTCACCTGTGATTTTATGAATTTTTTTTGTTTTGTTTTGTTTTTTTTTTACTACGAAATTTATAAGGTTTGGCTACAAAATAACCTTATTATATATAAAAAATTTCAAGAAATTATCATTTTTGTTGTTATTTCGCTGTATATATACCCTTTTTCTCTAAAAAAAATAGTGAAAAATGAAGAAAAAAAACATTTTTATACTAAAACTCTACGAAATCACAGATGGAAAACACCAAATCACAGATGGATTGTTCCATCTACAAACGTACAAGTGCCTAAAGCACAGATGTGCTTTAGGCACTTGTACGTTCGTAGATGGAAATGCGAAATCGCAGATGGGCTTAATCCATCTGTGATTTTAAGGGCTAAATTTGTAATTTGGGTTTTTTTGGCTATTTTCCACAAAGTAATTAGTGTATTTGGCTAAATTTGCAATTTTCTCTACATTATGATACACATACATCCCTTATGCATCTCTTGTTGGTGATTTGTATGACCAATGTGTATTTAAGTGTCATGGATTAATTTGTTGACCAAATATAATCTTAACAAATATTAAACAAGTCAGGGAGGTGCGGAGTGCACACTTTTTTAAGTTTGTTCATGATTCAAAGTAGATTGTCATTTAGAGGCGAATCCGCTAAACGAACGGGAGTCTGGGGGTAGTGCCCTAAGGAGCGGGGTCGAAGGGGCGGCAACCCCTGGAAGGGTACAAGGGTCAGAGCCTCTGGATGTGGGAGGCTGAGGTAATTCTTGGAATAAGAATTAAACAATGTAACAATGAGATTTCAATTTCTCAATCTCATTATATTGAGAAGATATTGAAAAAGTTTAACTTTGAAAATTGTTCTACTGTTAGCACTCTTATCGATCTTAATCTTAAGCTTCTACCTAATAAAGGATTTCCAGTGTCTCAACTTGAATACTCAAAGGTTATTGGTTGTCTAATGTATGTCATGATTAGTATTAGGTCTGATATAGCATATGTTGTAGGAAGGATTAATATGTATACTACTAATCCTGGTCCACATCATTGGCAAGCTGTAAGTAGAGTATTCAAGTATTTGAAAGATACTGTGGATTATGGTTTAACTTATAATAGGTATCCTACTTTGTTGGAAGGTTGTTCAGATGTCAGCTGGATTAACAACTTAGAGGATCACTCCTCTAGTAGTGGTTGGGTGTTTCTTATTAGAAGAGGTGTCATTTTTTGGGCATCCAAGAAACAAAATTGCATTACTAACTTAACCATGGAGTCTGAGTTTGTAGTATTGTCTGCTATTGGTAAAGATGATGAGTGGCTAAGGAATTTGATTTAGGAAATTTCAGTATGCCCCAAACTGATATCTACCATTTCAATCAGATGTGATAGTGATGCAACCTTGGCTAAGGCTTATAGTCAAGTGTACAACGGGAAGTCTAGACATTTAGGTGTTAGACATTGCATGATTCGTTAGCTCGTCATGACTGGTGTGATATTGGTGGAGTTTATACGGAACTCATTTGAATTTGGTTGATCATCTAACCAAAGGGTTAGCAAGAGATCTTGTGCACAAGGTAGCTGTAGGGATGGGTTTAAAGTCTAAATAAAATCTTTCATATTGAGATACCCAATTCTCATCTAATGTAATTATAGATGTTGAATTCAATGTAGAAAACTTGATAATTGAAGATTGGAACACATTATTATCATCATCCCAAGGTATGTGTTCAGTACTGCAAATTAAGGAGGTTAAAATTTTATATCTTAATATTTCTTTTAAAAATTGTGTTTGTAGGTGCAAGAACAAAAGAACTACCTATATAAGCATGGAGTTTAGATTCTTGAAGAAGTTAGGACTTGGCTTTGATATTCTTATTGAAGGATGGGATACAAGCTAGTAAAATATAATGTCAAGTTAGAACTTATAAGAATGTAAATTTTTGTGTGTATTATCCCCATGTATTCACTATGAATAGAAAGGGTTCAATACTTAGTGACACCCTAATATTCAAATATCTGGAACAAATAATATACTAATGTGAAATTCATTCGTCAAGACATTTTCATTTATGCATCAATTTTTTGTTGTTATGTTTTTATTTTAAGTTAATAAAGATTACACTTAAATGGGGAAGGTTTATTGGTGATTTGTATCACCATGTGTAAGTAAGTGTAATGGATTAATTTGTTAACAAAATATAATCTTGACAAATATTAAACAAGTAAGGGAGGTGTGGAGTGCACACTTGTTTAAGTTTGTTCATTATTCAAAGTAGACTGTCATTTAGGGGCGAAACCCCTGAATGAACGGGGGTTCGGGGGCAGCGCTCATGGGAGAGGGGTCTAAGGGCGGCAACCCCTGGTGAGGTTCAAGGGGCAGAGCCCCTAGCTAGGGTCGAAATTATTGAAAATGAACCCGGTTTTGACTTTTTTTTTGACGTTATTTAAAAATCCATTATATGACAGTTTACCATTGTTGCAAACAGTCTTGTGGTAGTTTGGAAAATTTTGAGACAAAAAACTATTTTATGATAGTTTTCGGACAAAGGCAGTTTATAACCATTTTTGGTCATCATTTTCAGGTACATACATAATTCTTAACAATCTCATTCTCTGTTCTTGTTCTCTAAAAATTTTGAGTCTTATCTAATTAAGGATTCGGGACTACCACCCAAATACTTCAATTTGAAAGTGTAATCATGATTCGCAGAATTCCAAGTGCTTTCTTACCCTAAAAATCTAAAAAATATTGAAGTGTTTTGTGACAATGGCAAGTGGCGATTCTACGAAGTAAATGACAAGAAAATTTGACAAGTTTGTGAAGTTTAAAGGCCAAGACTTTCGTGGATGGTAGAAGAAGATGAAGTTCTTCCTAACCACTCTGAAAGTGGTGTATGTGTTGAGTACACCCATGCTAGAATTTGATGAAGATGACCACTCAAAAAGTGGGACAATGATGACTACATTTGTCGGGGCACATTCTCAATGGTATGTATGACTCTCTTTTTGACATCTATCAAAATGTCGAATATGCAAAATAACTATAGGATTCTCTTGAAACCAAGTACATGACTG